CAGACTCCATTTTTCCACCTTCTTTCCCACAGTTGGGTAGTTAGCACAGTCATAGTCAGGGACGGCCGGTGTGAATGTGCTGACGGGGCTAAGCCCTCCCTACCATTTTTAATTTAAAAAAAAATATATAGCAGTACACTTCTGTGACGTAATGATGAAGCCGTTTGCAACATGTTTGCGTCCTAGAAAAGTCAACGATGTTATCTTCTCTTTAAATAAGGTAAACCCAACCCCTCTCTCCCTCCCTCCCCTTAAAATACGTAACATGCTTCTTTCCTGTTACACTTCTTTAAAGATCAATATTTTTTGCTGTGGATACCAAATCCTTGTATTGGGGACATGTTGTTTAAGTCAGTATGTTGTAAATTGTTGTGATATTTCAATTGTAGTCTATTGGCAGATTTTACAGTTGGAACACATTTTTAAGTTCATCCCTAGCTGCATCAGCAGAACTTTCAGATTATTCAGCCATCATTCCTGCATACTTTGTATTTGTAGAAACAATAAAAAGGCATGTGTTAATGTGTACAGAAACAGCTAGTCAAAAGGTGTGTGGGTGTGTGTCTGCCTGGCATTCTGGGTATTCCTCCATATAGTTTTGTTGTGTTTATTCTGCCCTCGCACTTAACTAGGCAGACAGACAACCATCATCCCATGTAGAAAAACCACACCGTTGTTCCTTTCTGGTGGATTTATTTGATTGGATGCATAGCATGGCTTTGTTGAAATACATGAATGGATGAATGGTAAAACTGTAAACAAACACAAAATATCCCATGTGAGCTAATATAAGCAAACATTCTTACAATTAGAAGATACTATGACCTGTTACTATGCAAAGCAAAGCAGAACGAAACAAGCTAACAAGCTAACGTTAGCGGTTAGCTAGCGCTAATTAGCGTTTAGGCTAATGACTAATAAAGCACAACATTGAGTCAATTTTCTGGCCAAAATATATTTCAAATATATGGTAAATATATTTTGTATTTGTGATGCTCCAAAAAAATATATTTTTGAAATTGAAAATATATTTCTTTCAAACCAAAATACATTTCAAAACATATTTTAGGGTGAAGAAAATACATTTCCAACCTTACAGTAGAATGTATATCAAAGTATCCTTTATTTAAAATATATTTAGTGCAATAATGATGATAATGATAACAATACTAAAAGTAACATGTTTTATGCACATCTGCAAAAAACAGTTGGATTCAAACAAAACAGAGTCAAAGGTCTATCACGAATTAGGTTGTTTATTCATTTGCTTACAGTATTTCACATTACACAATATCTCACTATAATGTAGCGTTCATTGACTTTGAAATTATCTGTCAGTGATACAGTAAACAAGATACAACAACTGCTATGTACACTTTAGTTTTTGACAATATATACAATTTAGTACTTAAAGGAACACACTCCACTGTTTTGGAAATAGGCTCATTCTCCATCTCCTTCAGAGTTAAAAATGCAGCGTCTTCTTTCTAGATCCGTACGTTAATAGGGCTCTGGAGCATGATCTTACGGGATGGGGCGTAGCCAGGATTTTTGGTCAAGGCGCCATATTAGCAGGCCAAACAAATGCTTGCTGTGTGGTCGGTTGTAATGTTAGATTGCACTACCGACAAAGGAATAAGCTTGAAAACAGGCTCTCTTTTCATTGTTTCCTCACCTGGAAACATCATGAGGGAGCTTATGTGTTGGATGTTACCAAAAGAAGGCGTCTAGCCTGGATAGCAGCTGCGAGACGAGCTGATATTCAGTTCTCTACCAGCCACAGATATCTGTTGGTGTGCTCCAGTATTTTCATTCAGGTAAGTTCTAAATAAGTTCATATTATTATTTATAGCCTGTTAATTTTATTTTCAATAGCACAAACTTAGAACAAACATGCAGAACTACCTTCTATTTATAGAGTTGCTAATTATTTGGCATTATTGCAACAAACCAGCCTATGAAATGAATGAAACAAATCCTGACTGGGTTCCAACACTACACATGGGGCACTACGAAATCCCTGCTTCAAACTACATGCTACATACCACCATGCCAATCAGATTACTTCTTCCATGTGAGGGTAAAAAGGTGACCTTCCTGGATAAGATGGCAAAGGTTTGCTGCGTTTTGGTGAACATGTGCCCCAGTGTGGTAGTAAAACCAGGGAAAAATGCTCTTGTTAAATACTTTTAAGTCTTGTGCTGTTTATGTAGTGATAAGTTTTCAAAAGAGACAGTAAATTACAGAATGCTAGTAGTGGGTGATATTATACAAATGCTGTCATGATTTTATGTGAACATTTTGTCATTTGTAAACTATACATAACATTTTTTCTACATTGTAACTGATGTGATGTTCGACAAAGTGCTTTTAATTAAAAATAGGCAAACATTTCTTTGTTTCTTTATTCAACTTTTGAACAGTGGTATTTAGTAAGTACATATTCAGTAAATGCAAAGTATTTACATGGCCCCCTAAATTAAAACATTATGGGTTATTCAGAACAGAACTATGCTTGGAAAAATATTGTCCCATCAGTTGATCCAACTCCTCCACAGTAGCAGGTGGAACTTTTCTTTTTTGAGGATGGCTTCTTTTACCTGTCACAACGAATGGTCTGTTTATGTTTTGATCAAGAACCTTTTTTTTGGGCAGCTGAAGAGGAGAAGTCTATCTTATGGCCAACCTCTGGCTGTATCTTGGTCATATTACCCAGCAAAACCCAGTATGCAGGTTCATCTGTAACAGTCCTTGTGCCACAGATCCTCACTGTTGCTTCTACATTAAACAGAAGAGCAGTGACATGGCTGCAAGTCTCCACGACTCTAGCCATACAGCTGCAGTGGGCGGCTTCAACCTTCCCTGTGATGCTCACAATGACCTGTGGCTGCAATGCTGCAATTCAGTCTTTAAGAGTGCAGGACCTAAAACACACACAGACAAAGTTCATTTAAAGACAAGAACTTTAATAAGCCAAGTCCGACACAAATGTGTTTTATTTACTTTCAAATCCATTTATCATAAATGTAACAAATAAGGTGTTTTTATGTATCCATCTATAGAACGCTGCATGTTATATTCTAAATCTGCATGTTTCTTTTTAGAAACCTATCAGCAAAAAATGAACCTAAAGTATGTAATGCAAGGATGTAATCACTTTCAAGAGGGAGAAAACATAAAGTTCGACTTTAAGTGACAACTATGGACACCTAATATGACAAGCAGATTCTGCAGGTCATTAATCAATGTATAAAACTAAAACAGAATGTATTTTTAGTGACACAGGACACAAACAAGGAAGCAAGATGTGTAATTAGGATTATTTATAATAAATATGAATTAATTAGGGCAATTTCTTTAACCATAAAGAATAACTAAATCCTTCAGGACAATGTCACATCAATGCACTGAACTCACTATGTTATCCCTCTAACAGAGCCTCTACATGTTCTCACTGTAATTTCCCCCTCACGAATGAATTTTTGCTAGCACTAATTTGAATGTTGGGGGGAATCAAACGCATTTTACTCGCAGTACTCAAGCTGACTTACCTTTGCTTGAATGACGGCGTACTCACAACGTGGAGGCTTAAAAATAGCCAAATCTTGTACCCAGTCCTTGGTGAATTGGATGTGCGCCTCCAGAGATTTATAATTGCGAAATTGGTGCGCCGTGTATGCTCTGACTCCACAGACAAGGTATGAGAGTAGATCATGCTAAGTCAATAGCGGTTTGGTCTTCAGGGTTTCTACTCCACGGCTATATTTCATACGGGTCCACATTTCAACAATCAAGTACCGTCTCTTTGCATCTGGACAGAATCTGTCTCTATACCGTCATTTTCTTTTGAGCTACGTTTCAGAATGGTTCGTAGCAATCTTGTTTTGATTCGTGACCTGCCAAGATGGTGCTGCGCTCCCACAATGCATTGCGACATTACGTCAACTCCAAAGCCCTTTGCGTGCAGGAGTGTATGCGCATGCGCATTGCCACGGTGGTTTAAAAAATAAAGATATAATGAAAAGTAATTAATAAAAATTAAATATTTAAACATTCCCACAAATGTGCAATGAACGTGCAAAAACTCTCTTTAGTAGTTGTTACTGTTTCTTTCTTTCTTCTTCTTTTTTTTTTTTTTTTGAAAAATAACGACGTCTCTGAGGCGCGAAATCTGACAGCGAGAGGAACGGCCGGATACAGGAGACGGGAAGAAACAAGCCGATTATGTTCGCGTTAATTAAGTGGTTGGAAGATGTAAAATTCTCAATTCTGCCAACTGAACATATACGAGATTTTAATGAGGATGAATAATTAGCCGGCATGGAGGAAACGGACCTTTATTTCGTGGAGTGGCGACAAGAAGCCAAGGCGGGTGGCCAGTCTAAGAAGCCTCCATCATCAAGCTAGCAGGTGCCTTTTCCCATATAATATTACTTTATTCTCGTGTATTTGGAACGGAAGCGTAGAGCTGCCACCCAGGCAAAAGAGAAATATAAGTATATCACGTTATAACGTGAAAAGTTTATCGTTCTAACAATATACTATCATGTTTGAACAACATGTTTGAACAACATTGTACGAAAAATGTACATAATTATCACGTCCGTACAAAATTGTGCGAACGTGACAATTATGTATATTATAATAACGTGATATTATATTATACAAACATGAAAAGCATAATGTTAGAACAATAAACATTTCACGTCATAACGTGATACAGCTCTATTTTTCTTTTGCCTGGGTGGCAGCTCCACGCTTCCATAATTTGGTAATCAAAATATGTAACTTAATTAATTATATTGTGACGTTTTGCCTTTTCCTTTTATTCTGCCTTCTCAATAACTATCAAAGCCTATTCACATTTAATTTGGCTTTCACAGAAATCCTACCTCTCCTTCTGGCTACAGAGTACTTACCAAGGTTAGAAACAAAGAACAGTTATGCTTTATTAATGTTCGCTAATTACAATGTTCCACATTTCCTTACTTTTTAAGTCATTTTTAGGCTTTTTAGAGTTTTTGTTTTTTATTTTTTTAGCAGTAATGTTTCTGCCTATTTATTTCAGCCCATGAAATCGAATGCAGATCTTCCTAATGTGAGATTTACATAAATGTAAGTAATTTTGTTTGTCATTGTCATTAATGTTGTTGCTGTTGTTGTTTTTGTGCAGTTTGCAATCATATAAACCTAGCAAGCATCAGTCAGCACAGTGACTAACCTAAACAGATTCTTGCTTTATTCACATATATTATATGTAATTATATATACCTGCACATTGTACCTAGGGTTGCAGCCACTTGGCCCCACCCCATTGTTGTGACAGCCCTGATTGTACTTATACACTGCATCTGAACAGGGAACAGTCTGCCACATTAATGTATTTTTAAGTGACTTGTTTGTAATACATGAATTTGTTTTTTACAGATGTCAAAGTCTCAACCTCATGCTGCCCTCCCCCATCCTCCTAAAGTAAGTATTTGTTGTTGTAGTTTTTTATGCGGTGTCTGTGTCACATGCTAATCATAATTATTGAAATAACTGTTTTCTAACAGATTTTCCAAAACACTAGTTATGTTTGTTGTCATTCAGACCAATACTACTGCTTAGACATTGTTTAGTGGTCATGCATGTTTGACAAGCTCGTTATGATACCAAAACAGTAGGCCTATCACAATAATCGATATATCGACTTAACACACAATACATGTACATGACCTCAATAATTGTTGATGATGTAATTTATCTGCCATTATATTTACAAAAATAAAATATAATGATAACAAAACAATAACATTAAATAACATTGTTTTCTATTTGTTAGAAAATTTACTATTTATTCAAGTTTTTAAGGTATCTAATATTTTGATTCCTAATTTCAATGATCTAAATACTTTAAGAATTAGATGTTGGTTTGTCAATTGAAAGTGTGTAGATCTTGCATTATTATGGTGTTATATTATGATTATACATTCAAAGACATAAAATGGTCTTAAAATGACAATGACATAACTTGTCGCAATTGTTTATGGGGCAATATACCGACCAACAAAAAGTCGCTATCGTAACAGGCCTTCAAAACAGACGGTTTTATGATTGATAAATTCAAAAAATAAATACATTTAATTTCTCTGAGATTCTCTAATATTCAGTTACAGTTCACAACACAGCTACCCGTACATGCAGTATTATACTGTAAATATAAATCTCTGCATTTAGCATCCCACTAGAAGCGTCACAGTTACTGCCTCTTTTTTTCTTTTTTTATTTTACAAATACCTGTACTATCACTAACACATTTACTGTTTTACTTTTAGCCTGTGGATACAAATGCAGATTTCCTTAATGTAAGTTGTGCATTTTAATTACATCATGTTATTTTTATTATTATTTATTTATTTATTTTATTTTACATTCAAATATTTCAAGCTTCTTGGTTAAAGAAGCTTGATTGCTAGTAGGTAAAGAATAGTTCACCTATAATTCATATTCCCAATTAATTTCTCACCTCTGATTGAATGCCTTTGTTTGTTTTCCTTTTGACTATAACAAAACATTTTTGCTGGATATATATGGTGAATTTATATGCATAGATACAGTCGTAGTGCTTGACACATGCAAACAGCAGTAGATGTACTAAAAAGGAAATAATTACAATCATGATGTTGATTGGTGATGTCAGTATATATATTTTAGAGGAATGTTTTGTTTTTCACCCAAAATGAACTATATTGCTTCAGAAGAGATTTATTACCCTACCGGACTCTTATATATTGTTCTGTTTTTTGTTTGTTTTTGTTATTTTCAGGTTCAATGGTGCGTGTTCTTCTAATGGCCGCCTTCCCACTGGAGGTTTTGATCCACAGCAATTTAAAAGGTAATCAGCTTTGAAAGTCAGTTCAAATGGTTAGCTAATAGTACTTTAAAAAGCCTACAACTCTGTCACCAGTTTCTTTACCAAAAATTACCCATAAAAGTATCGCTCAATAGCATATATTGTAGTTCAAATGTTTAGTTGTACAAATATCAAATTTTTGGAAATCTAAAACTAGTCAAACACTCAAATGTTCATGCTTTTTATAGGAGGACAGAGCAAAACGGACATCGGCGCAGAGTGAAGAACTGCCCTTGATAAGGACACTATGACAGCCATATATAGTAAGTGAAGACTTTCTGTGTATCTAAAATTGCATACAGCACAAGTAACTTACTTTGCAACCATTAAAATAGGTTGTAAAGTAAGTTACCAATACAAATAGGTGATGATGCATTGTAGTGGTTGGTCTCAGACAAAGAAGGTCAACAGATTTATGAATGCTGGAAGGTAAGGAGAGACGACCAAAAGGGGTGTTAGCATTACTGTAATGTGAACTGGATAGACTTCCCATCTAGGAAAAAAAAGAGGTAAAATTATGCGTAAAATATATCTGTATTAATATCTGTATCTATATAAACAGAAATATCTGTTTGCTAAATGAAGCCAGCTAACATAAATCACATTTTTATTTTAACTCTGATAAAAGTAATAGAACTGTGACTTTTGTTTGTTACAGTGGCGGTAAGGAAGGGGTTTCCCAGCGTGTCCAGAAGGGCTTTGAGGATTGCCGTGAAAGCTGGGGGAACTGAGACTGCCGGAAAAGGAAAAGAAATTACATTTTAAGTATGCTGACTTATGTTCATACAATCACACACACATATACACATACACACATATGTGTGTGTGTGTGTGTGTGTGTGTGTGTGTGTGTGTGTGTGTATATGTATGTGTGTGTGTGTGTGTGTGTGTTTCTTTTAGAATGTTTAAGTATGTAATGAGAATAAACTTATAAAATGAATATTCCTTGCTTGATTGATATGCTATATGTATGTTTTAAACATCAAATAAAGATTTCTTTCAGATGTTACATGTGAATGTGTTTTCTTAGAAATATATGAAGGGTTAAATTTATATTTTTTTGAATGATTTTAAATAAATTTAAATTGTATTTTGAAATATATTTTATTAATATATTTCAAAATATACAAAAAATGGCCAAAAAATATATGTGCTAAAATACATTTCAAAATACATAAACATATTTCAAAATATATTTTAAAATACATTTTGAAATATATTTCAAAATATACAAAAAATGGCCAAAACATATATGTGCTAAAATACATTTTAAATATATAAATATATTTTAAAATGTATTTTAGCACATATATTTTTTGGCCATTTTTTGTATATTTTGAAATATATTTCAAAATGTATTTTAAAATATATTTTTTTTTCGTATGTGACTAATAAAGCACAACATTGAGTCAATTTACCTTCTCAAAATATCACAAACAACACACGGCAGTTAGTGCTAAACATTCACCGGTAAAACACAACATTACTGCCAACTTACAGACTGTGCTGGCTTAAGAGGCAGCATAGGCAGGCACAGGAGTAGCAAACTGTCCTTCTCCCGTTAGACAGGAAGTAATGAGAAGTAGCACTTCCGGTAGAATGTCAAAATAAAATGAACAGTGTGCCAGAAACGAATAAAGATTGCATGAACTTGTATAACACTACATAACGTGAGTGGTGACTCTTAAGGAGCCAGAACACTCCCCGCCTGACATCGGTAAGATGTCACACTTGGACCCAAACTAAACTTGTTGCACAGCAGCTGATACAAGAAGAACAACGTCTGTGACTGGCCTAAAGTAAACTTTGGCTTTACCATCTTTCACCACCTTGACTTCTACCTTCCTGACAAGTCCGTCACTACTGGGATGAACCTTTGCAATCACCCCCATGGGCCACTGATTTCTCTTCACGAGAGGATCTTTCAGGAGGACCACATCCCCCTGCTGCAGGTTTGGTCTGGTGGAATGCCACTTGCGGCGGCATTGCAGTGTTGATAAGTACTCCTTACGCCAGCGATGCCAGAAAGAGTTGGCCAGACTCTGAACTCTTTTCCACTGTTGCCTGTAGAGGTCCTTCTCCCCGAAGTCACCTAGGGGTGTTGGAGGTGCACCAACTTTTTGCGTGAGGAGTGTGGCGGGAGTAAGGATGCACGGAACATCGGGATCGCTTGACACTGGAACCAGCGGCCGTGCGTTGATGATGGCGGCCACCTCTGCCATGAAGGTGGTCAGGACGTCGTGCGTGAGGGGCCTGGAACCAAGTTGAGCGAGCTGGGAATCTAATATCTTACGTGCCACTCCTATCATCCGTTCCCAACTGCCCCCCATGTGAGAAGAGTAGGGAGGGTTGAAGACCCAACTACATCCATGATCATTTAGGAAGGATTTAACACGTGGGTCACAAGGAATCCTTTTGTCAAACCCTAGCTCCCTGGAGGCTCCTGTGTAGTTAGTTCCACAATCCGATCTCAATTGCCTTGCAGGTCCTCTGACTGAAAAGAACCTGCGGAGAGCGTTAATGAAGCTAGACGTGTCCATCCCCTCTATGATCTCAAGGTGAACTGCCCTTGTGCTCATGCAGGTGAACATCACTGCCCATCGTTTGCTGCTGGCAAGTCCGCCCCGAGTACGACGAGAGGCAACCGACCATGGCCCGAACACATCTATGCCTACGTAAGAGAATGGAGGCTCAGCACTAAGACGTTCTGCAGGAAGATCTGACATTTTTTGGACCTGTGTTACTCCCCTTAGCTTGCGACAAACTACGCATGAGTAAATGAGGCTGCTGATCTGGCGTTTACCTCCTAAGACCCAGTAACCTGCGGATCTTAAAGCACCCTCTGTAAGATGACGCCCCTGGTGCCTGACCCTTTCATGGTAATAGCGGACTAACAGGTTAGTTACATGGTGTTTGTGCGGCATAATTAAGGGGTGTTTTTCTGTGGACTCAAGGTCAGAATGAAGAAGGCGTCCGCCAAGCCTCAGGAGGCCTGATTTGTCAAGGTAGGGAGAAAGTTTTAAGAGAGGGCATTTCTTTGGGATGTCCTTCCTTGACTCTATTTGTTTGAGCTCCTCTGGGAAGCTTTCTTGTTGGACTGCTTTTATAACCGTCTCTCTTGCTTGCTCAAAATCTGAGGTAGTGAGTTCATAACATATATGCCATCCCTTACATTGTCCGCCTGATTGCTTTACCTTAAAGGTGTGTGCAATGTGTGCCAAACGTGCAACTGCCCTGGTAAGGGACTGCCAGCTGGAGAAAGATTCTAAGTTTGCAGTCTTTAAACAGGGGTATGATGTTTGAATGGTGGCAGTGATCAAGGGACGAACTTCAATGTCTGAGTCGGGGTTTTGAAGTTGGAATGTATCTGATGAGTTGCTCTGTAAGGGCTTTAAGGGAAACTCCGGCCCTTTCAACCATGTGCTGGACAACAGTTTTTCGGCAGGTAGAGATCTGGATCCGTGATCGGCCGGGTTGTGCACCGAGGGTACATAGCCCCACTGAGTTGGTACTGTTGCTCGTCTGATGCGTTGCACCCGGTTGTTCACGAAAACGTGAAATCTTCTTGCCTCATTGTAGATATAGCCAAGAACGACTTTGCTGTCGGAGAAGAAGCGCATGTTACTAATCTGAATGTCCATTTCATCTCTGATTAGTTCCCCAACTTCCACCGCTAACACCGATGCACACAGCTCGAGCCTGGGAATGGTAAGATCGGGCTTGGGGGCAAGTTTGGCTTTCCCGAATATGAACGCAAACTCTGTCTCACCATTTTTGTTCGTTAACTTCAGGTAAGCCACAGCTGCAATAGCCTGGGTTGATGCATCACAGAAGACACAGATTTCTCTGTGCTTCGCACCAAGAAAGGAGAAGGAGCAGTATGGCCTCGGGATACAGATTTGCTCGAGTTGTTTGAGAGCATTCTTCCATTCTGACCACTCCTTGAACATGCCCTCTGGAAGAGTCTCATCCCACCCACAAGTCTCTTTTGTCAGCTCCCGCAACAGTGCCCTCCCCTTGATGCTCACTGGCACTGCAAACCCCAGCGGGTCAAAAAGGCTGTTGATAGTGGACAGAACACCTCTTTTCGTGTAAGGCTTTTCGGTTTGAGAGACTCTGAATGTGAAGGTGTCGCCTTCAATGTCCCAACATACTCCTAAGCTTCTCTGCATTGGAGGAAACTCTGTGTTGAAATCTATGTCCTTGAGCCCGCTTGCCAAGTCTACAGTAGAGAATGCTTTCATGACATTTGGGCTGTTTGAAGCTATTTTGTGGAGCCTCAGGTTGGACGCAGCGAGCAGCTCCTGTGTGTCTTTGAGGAGCTTAATTGCCTCTGACTCAGTAGGGAGGGATTTGAGTCCATCGTCGACATAGAAATGTCTTTGAACAAACTGTTTGGCCTCAGAATAGTGCTGTGTGTCGAACAGGTGTGCTGCCTTTCTCAGACCGAAAATTGCCACCGCTGGAGAGGGGCTGTTGCCGAACACGTGCACTTTCATTCTGTACTCGACAACTGGGTCTCTTGGGTCATTGTTGCGGTACCAAAGGAACCGGAGGAAGTTCCTGTGGTCTTCTCGCACCTGAAAGCAGTGGAACATTTGTTGTATGTCCGCTGTGACAGCCACCGTTTCTTCTCTGAAACGGATGAGCACCCCAATCAGACTGTTATTCATATTTGGACCTTTGAGCAGCACATCATTTAAGGACACTCCCTGAAACTTAGCACTTGAGTCAAATACCACCCTGATGTTCCCGAGCTTCTGCGGGTGATAAACGCCAAAGAAGGGCAGATACCAGCATTCTTCTCCTTCTTCGAGAGCTGGTGCTGGTTCAGCGTGATCCCTGTCAAACAACCCCTGCATAAAATCCATAAAATGTCTCTCCATTTCAGGGCGTTTATTTAATGTGCGGCGCAACGACTCTAAGCGGCTGAGTGCTTGGTTTCTGTTGTTTGGGAGGCGGGTTCTCGGTGTACGGAAAGGAAGTGGAGCTGTCCAGCTATTTGCATCGTCTTGGTAAAAGTCTCTTTCCATAATTTCCAGAAAGGCTTGGTCCTCAAGGGAAGGGGCTAGCTCTTCGTCCTTTTCACTTTGCTGGAATATGTGTTTCCCTATTTGACATGAATTGTGAGTGTTCCAGGATTTGTTGTGTGACTGCTCTTTGACATGAAAGCTGTTTTGACAGGGTGTTAGGAGACTTGGACGCCCGTTCTCTAGAACACTCGTTCTGTATGTGCCTATGATGGCTGGCTTATGGGCTCCTCCTAGGCATACATCACCTACAATAACCCACCCAAGTGCAAGTCTCTGGGCAAATGGAGCATTGACTGGTCCATTCACTCGTTCATACACTTTGTGCACTTGTATTATGTCTCGGCCTAACAGCAACATAATGTTGGCCTCAGGGTCTAGGGGCTGCATATGATCTGCTAGGTGTTTGAGGTGTTGATGGGCTAGGGCAATCTCTTGCGTTGGTATTTCATTCTTGTTGTCTGGGAGTGAGTCACACTCGAGCAAAGAAGGCAGAGGAGAGCTGAACTGGCCATCAACGGACTGTATAAAGAGGTTCTCAGCTAAGCGGCCATTTGTAGTGGAAACCCCTGTACATGTCTTAAGTGTGTATGGCGCTAGGTTGCTCATTGGGATGCCAAAGGTGTCGAAAAGATTTGACTTCGCTAATGACCTATTGCTCTGGTCATCTATGATAGCGTAAACCTTGACCTTTTTGTCTGGATGCCCCTTTGGATAAATGTAGGCTTGACATATTTTGGAGCAGGAACGCCCCCTACCTAAGTCCCCACAAACTTGAGTGCAT